GAATGATTGCTGGTAAGGGTTTCTATACATTAGTATTTACAAAGGGTATGTTGTGACTTACCTTTAAAATTACAGCGGTCCCTCACTATAACACGGTTCACCTTTCACCTCGCTGTTTCGCAGATTTTTTAGTGCAAGTTTGCATGCTTTTTTTACATCACATTGTGTCCTGCGTCCTGATCGCTGCAGACGATCTCCTCCGTGACGTCTCTCCTGTACAGTACAGAATCGCTGCATCGATCGCTAGCAGTGCAACTCTGAAGTGCAGTACTGTATGTCCACGATGTCCACGAAACGTTTTGCACCGTCAAAAAATAAAATTGGCTACTTGATTTCACCTATCGCTGGTTATTTTTAGAACATAACACCCGCAATAAACGAGGGACAGCTGAGAAATATAACATTTGAATCCCTTTTCTCTTTTGCTCTTAGGCGCGAGGAAAAAATATCGACAAGTCGATGAACATCATTTACAGATATATTGGGTAAATGCCCAAGACATCTATAGAAATGTAAATCGCCGCTTGATTCATTCATTTGCTTAACTTGTTTTGGACTGTAAACAGGGCGTGAATAGGACACCGGAAACAAAGCTCCCCACAGGAGTTTCCGCACCGGAAGTAGCATATGCTAACGTGCACATAGTCAATTCGCAGTATAGTGAAATGTCGATAATTCAGAAACCTGTCACGATAGTTGTTTGCAAGTGCCTTAGCCCTAGTTTGCTAACATATAAATAATATTAATTCATGCTAAGAAAGAACACTATGGATATGATGATTGATCAAAAAATACAGAGTTCATAAGGAGGTGCATTGTCTTTATGGCTCAAGAGGAACTTTGGTGTAGCATGAGGAAGTCAGAGGTGGTAGTGAGGTATGTGAGGGTGGTACAGAATATAGATGAGGACAACTAGACAGCAGTGAGGTGTGCAGTAGGAGTGACAGGTTGAAGATGGGGATGGGATTATAGCAGGTATCAGCTCAGAGCTCTTTCTTATATGCAGAGGTGTTGGACATGTTAATAGGTCAGGTAGGAGTCTCTGCAGACTTTAATGTCTGCAGATGGCATTGACATGACCTGTAGTGAGAGTAGGGGGAGCATGGAGAAGTGGAGGTATGCATTGGATAAAAGAGGAATGCGCGTGTGGGAGGGAAGCAAGGGAAATGGTGAAAAAAGGAGTAGAGGTAGTGAAAGTGGATGAGTTTAAATACTTAGCTTCAACTGTTCAAAGCAATCGACAGCACACAAGAGGGGTGAAGAAGAGAGTGCAGACAGGTTGGAGTGGGTGGAGATGAGTGTCGAGGCTGATTTGCGGCAGACGGATAGCAGAAAGAGTGAGAGAGAATTTGGAAGTGGTACTGACAAAAAGACAGAAGGTTGAGTGGAGGTGTCAGAGTTAAAGATGCTAAGATTTGTAGTGGGAGTCACCAGGAGGAACAGGGTTGGAAGCGAGCACGTTAAATCTATACGTCTCTAATCTATATGCTCTACTTAGGGTTTCTTTTTACTCAAATTCTAAGTTGCTGAAGGCTGTTGTGCTCTAAGCATGCTGAAAGTTGAGCATGAACATGAAGCTTAGATATCCTAAAATTGTCACAGGAGAGATAAAAGCTTCTTTTTTTAATTCTAAAAGATGCCTCTTCAAACTTGATTTCTTTATCTTGCAATATAATGCAGTCAGCTATTCTTAGTCTTACCTCAGAAAAAGCAAACTATAGCCTGGGGAGTGCTGGTCTGGGTGTTGTGGGGTAAGTTGCTTTTCCTGAAGTGACACTTCACACCTTACATTACCTGTTATGTTTCCACTTTCTCTTTTTTTCTCTCTCTGCTCTCCTTTGTTCCTCCCTCCTCATCTCTCCACCTTCTCCTCTATTGTGCTGTTTAACTTTTTATTGTGCTGCCCGTTTGCCTGCAGCCAGGGTCTCTCCACTCCACACCTGACAAAGCCTTCATCTGTATTCCGTCTGATGGAACTGCGGCAGTGATGAAACCAACCCCCACACAAAACGCAAAAGGGTTGGGGGGGAAGAAAGCAGCCTAAGCAGCAACAAAAAGCAGATCATACCATGTCTTGACTTAAAAAAAAAAACTCTCAGTGGGAGATATAAAGATACACTCTTTCTCTCTGTGTGTGTGGATACCTGTGTGTGTGTGCGCTTGTGAGGCTGCACATTGCACTTTGTGCTGAGTTGGCAGATTAGGCTTCAGGATGGAGAATTCAAATTATGAATACAGCATGTGTGACTGTGCGAGTGAGAGAGGGCGTGAAGGCAGAATTTAAGAAGTGAGTGACAACATCAGAGGGCTGAGAAAACTCTAAAGCAGCGCTCAATACCTTGTCCACCGGATCCGTTGTTCGGAAGTCACGTCCAACACGTCTGATTTCTTTTACTTTTAATCTCAAGCTTCTCTTAGCGTGCCGCAACATTGCTGCATGACATCTCTTTTCCGCGGCTTGATTTGTATTTGTTGACAGCAATAAGAAAATGACACACTGGTGGGGGCTCACGGGACAAAATGTGCTGCGCTTTGCAGTACAGTCATTTGTATTTTGGAACCAAAAATGGGCAAAAAACTGCACTGCGTAAAGTGATGATCTTGATAAAAAGTGAAAAAGTGATAAACAGCTAAAAGGGATTTAATTCTTTCCTCTTTTTTTTTTTAGCTGGCCTCCGTGAAATTAAATTCCAGGGTCTTGATTAAAGTTGGTTGGTTGTTATTATTCGAGGAATTATATTCCTCTATTTCACCCCGTTTTGCTGTGAGCCTTGATAAAGCTGCGTTTTGCTTGGAAACATACACAGTATCTTCGGATTGCACGCTTCAAGGCAATACTCCCTGAAGCGCTCTGCCCATCTCATCAAAAAGACATTCCCTAGGACTCCGGGGAGTAAAGCCCTATTTGCACAAGATTAGTATTCCTGTGTTGTTTAATGTGATTAAACTCTTACATCTGTGTTTGTTGTGCAGCTCTGGAAAATTGAACTTTGTGTTATATTAATGGTTGAGTTTGCTTAATGATAGCAAAAGGTTCCTTACCTACAAAGGAATAACGTATCCAACCTACACTGAATAAAAATTCTTCACTTTTAATAAGCATGAAGCAATAATTTTGAGATTTTTGAAAGCAATTCCTTATTAAGGAACATGTGCTTGGCCTAAATCGAGTACAAATCAAGTACATTTGACCAGATTCCAATACATCGAACATTTTTATGTAACAAAATAGCATGGAATATGTAAATGTAACTAAATTAGTTAAAATTCAGGAATTTGGGGCACTTTTTTTAGACTGCTTTTGCAGTATATTTTAACTTGTTCTTTCTATGAATTTGCAAAACCAAAAGTCAACCAAAATTTCCTTTTTATAGTTTCCATTGTAGACTCCATAGCATAATGGTGCATAAAGCACCAAAAAAGATTGCAAAAAGAAAAAAGAACACATGAATAGCAGAGATCCTGATTTGCCCAGGACTAATATGATCCGAAGACCTTAAGGTTGGTGGTTCGATCCCTGGCTGCTCCAGTATGCATGCCAAAGTATCCTTGGTGAAGTTCCTGAACCCCAAAGTTCCTTCCGATATAGTCAACAGAGAGTCTAAGTTAAACAGAAGGCGAAGCATGGTGGTGGAAATGTTATGGCTTGGGGTTGTTTTTCTGCCTCGGGGACGAGGCCTGGGCCCGCTATATTAATGACGAGGTGAATTTTGAACTGGATTGTTGAACTGGACCTTTCAAAGAGTTAACAAGCCAAAGAACATGAACAAATCCGTCAAGTAATTGGTCAAATGAAGGCTTATGGAACGGTCTAGTCAACGCCACATCTGAAGGCTGCTAAAATGTTATGGAGTGATTTGCAAGTAGCATATATGCAAAGAAAAGAAACCCTTCAAACGTCTTGCAGCTGAAAGAGTATTTTCAGCAAGGTGTCAGAGACTGGTGTGCAATTATGCAAATTGCTGCAGAGTTATTTCTACTGAAGTGGGCAATGCTAGCTTTTAAAGCCGGGGGGGTAATTACATTTGTAGAGAGTCTTACTTCTGTTGATGTTTTTCCCTGAATAAGCGATTGAAAAAGCACATCATCTTCTGAAGTCGTTCACCTTTATCTCTACACGCGCTTTTAAATAGGGACTTACAAGATGTCCAGTTATATCAAAAAGGCAACATTTTAATGGAATACAGTTATTTTGTCACATAAAAATAGTCTTTAAGCTTGTCAAATATGACCATCCTTCTGATTGACGGGGCAGAAACTAAAATCTCTCATCCTGAGTTTTGGCACACGTTAATGATTTCGAAAACCAATCAGCAAAAGAGGTAGTTTTGTATTAAAACAGGGCATCGCGCTCGTATTATCTGCAGTCATAATAAAAGAAAAATCTCAAAACTGAGCCCAGCAGTATGTCTTGCTCCTTGGCCCCAAAGAGATCAATTAAGGGTGGATCATAGCGTTTCACAGGGCCCACGTCTACCTGTGCTTGCCCGGTTTCACCCCCACCCTCACCCACCTCCCTGTAGTCAGGCAGTCCGCTCTGACAGGCAACACTTTTCTCTGCAACCTCCCCTGACAGGGTGAGAACACATCCATCAAACGGAGGCAACCGCGACAGACAAGCTTGGTGCGAGACAACCTGTCAGGCTGGCTTGTGTTCCACTCGGCATAGCTTTGCCCTCATTTCATCTTCTTCTCTGTGTTTTACACTGTATTTTTTTTTCTTTTTTCGTTCGGTCTCTCTTTCACCCCCACCAACTCCAATTCTCCTTCCACCAGATCAATATTTCTGTTACTCTCAAATGTATATGTTTGAAGCTGCTGACTCTCTCTTTTTTAAAACAAAACCTCTGTCCGTTTCACTCAGTAATAAGTGTCAGAAGTTATATTTGACACAGCTTCTGAACCAACTTCTTTACATGCTTGTCTTACAGTACGTGTCGAGGTTTTTCACTTATTAGATACCCCCCTTTTTAATTTCTTTTTTTCCCCTTGCATTTCAGATGTGCAGTGCCCGTCCTTACAAGTGGAGGACTGGAAGTTTCCCCAGAGCGCCAGGACCAACATCACCGGTTAATAGACGAGCTCCAAACACATCAGCTGTTATGTGACTTTTATTTGGTGTGGCTGCTCACGAATGCCTTACCCTTTGCAGGTTTTAATCTGGTGAGGCGATTTTCCCTGCTCAAGAGCAAAGATGTCAAGAAGATCCGTAACCCTCGAGGAGCTGTCATCCTCCGCTTGGGCAAGACTGCACTCTTACAACCCAGCGAGTAAGTCCGCTGTACATCTGTTTCATCTGTTTCTCCGCACACCTGCGGACAAACCCGTGCACGAGCACGCAGCGTGGAGTTTTAGATCGCTGAAGATGTTTTACTGGGAAAGAATTAGTGAAGTTCTGCAGGTTTTCCAGCTTTCTAGAGGCCTGTGTGGACAGGCTCTCTGTTTCCATGTCATATCTGAACAAAGAGGACGGCAGAGAAACTGAAAACCCTCGGCTCTTCGGCCTCTGAACTCTCACTCAACCTGTCAGTGCAGTCCAGTGTGTTTAAAAAAAAAAAGGAAAAGGAGAAAAAAAAAGCAGAATCTTGGCGATCTGCATGTCGTGGGTCAAGCTGTGATTGCATTTCCAGAAATACCCATTCATTTCCCTCACCACCAACCCTGGCTTGTAAACTGGGCTGTAACAGCTTGTTGGTTTTCCACTTGCAACCGCATGTACTTATTATAACTAGCTTTCATAATGAAATGCATGACTTATTTGCCTGAACAGAAACTATGAGAGTGACGTCTTAATTAGAAGGTGGGCCACAGTTAGCTGGAAAGAGAAAAAAAAAAGACTTTAAAGGCTGTATTGGGCAGCTTGTTCTTAACTTGTTTCTACATGAAGAGACCCGCAGCCATAAAATGCAGCAAACTCATGGCTTCACTCCCTTCCGTGCTTTTTGCAGCTTGACATGGTGTAATTATGCCTTCTCGGGGTGTTCACGTTGTTATTACACAGCAGTCGGGTGTAGACTGTGTTTGGAATTGTGTGAAAATTGCTTATTAGAGTTCTGTGCTGGCTGTTTTTCCGGCTGGATGAGCTTCTCTCTGCCCACCGATAAAGCAGTTTTTCACAACGTGCCAATTGGGTCAGCGCGCAGTATTTTATCACTCTGTCCAGCGCTGCGAGCCGTGTGCTCCGCTCACTTGAAAGGCCCGATAAATCTGTCTACAAAACACTCTTTTCGGTTGAGACGTTTTGTTCTAAAAGTGTCACATATATTGTTTGTCACAGACTTGGAGAGTAGTCGTACTTATGAAAAAGGGGCGAGAAAAACTGAAAAAACAACTGTCACTTCTTGGGAAATCAGCATCTTAGGAGCCAAAGAGGAAATACCAAGATGTTTTTGTTTTGCCTCTAAGCATACAAAGAAAGGATGGGAACGTCATCTCTTCCCTGCTGCTCGTTTGGGATTTTGTGATTATTGAAATGTTGATGCCACCGAGAGCTCCGCTGTCAGTTTTATCAGTGAAGAACGCTACCTGGGCGACTTCTTTTTAACTGAGACAGAAAATAATCAATGTTAGCACATCAGCTTTGCCTTCTGGGTACCTTTCACTTTGCTTGAATTGCTCTATACATAGAACTCACTGTCATTTATGGGGTTCTTTAAATAATTAAACCAAATCTGAGAAAGCCAAATCAAATAAGGGCTATTGTCTAATGGCTATGAATGCTAATTTTCTTCTTTGTTATTTGGTTGTATAATTGTTTTACTCATGACTTTAACTTGCATCCATTTCGATTTTTGAACAGGTTACCAATATTTGAATAGAAGAGTGCAGGTGCACAAGACTTTAAAGGATGTAGTTAAGGGTTAAGTCCAGAAGAACAATGCAGAAGAATAGTATCTGAAAGTCAAATTATAGGAGAACTGGACTGAAACTCAGTGGAAACAGGTTATGTGGAGTCTTGCAGTTTTAAAACATCATCATCTATAGCAGTGGCCCCCAACCTTTTTTTGTGCCACGGACCAGTTTATGTCCGACAATATTTTCACGGACTGGCCTTTAAGATGTCGTGGATAAATACAACAAAATAAAACCAGTACTGGTACCAAAAAGAAGATTTATTCATAACACACGGGAAAAGACCCAGGGAAACTGAGTTAACAATAAAAACTATTAAAAAATAACACTAAAAACTGATAAAAATCCTGAAAACCATGAATTTCACACCCGAGCCTCAACTCTCACAGCCCGGTAAGAAATGACTCACGGACCAGTACAGGTACCAGTCTGTGGCCCGGTGGTTGGGTACCGCTGATCTATATGTGTTAAACACTGTGGAGGCTCTCTCATGGTTTGGGGCTGTATTGCAGCCAGTTGTCGAACTATGAATACAGAAAAGTACAGTCATATTTGATCTGTCATGCAATTCTAGAAAGCGTCTCTTTGGCAACAGCTTCATTTTTCAGTATGGTGATGATCACTAACACACTGCCACTACTGTAAAACCTGCATAGAAAAAACACAGTGGAACACTATCAGTCATGGATTAATCTCCCCCGAGCTCAGACTTATGCTTATTTAAGCAGTGTGGGATCATGTTGACAGGGAATGGAACAAAAGGCAGCCACCATCCAAAGAAGAGCTTTAAATGTCCTTCAAGAAGCCTGGAGAACTATTCTGAAGCCTTCTTAAAGAAATTACGAGAAAGCTTAAAGAGAGTTCAGGCTGTGTCGAAGGATGAAGGTGGCCATACCAAATATCAACTTTCAAACTTGTTAGAATTGTTCAAACACTGTTTTCTTCCTCATGTGCTCTATTTCCATCTTACTGAAGAAGTAGTTTAATACACAACTGCACCTATTTACCATTTTCCTGGCAAAATATGAGGAAATGAGGTTCGTCTCAAGACTTTTCGCAGTACAGTATTTGTGTGTCCCTGCAAGCATATGTGTGTGTTGCTCTGCATAGATGTGGCATCTTGCGTTAGATTTGACTCCTTTTTCATGCAAGGTCAGGCTGCATGGGGTGTTTGTAAAACTAAGTAACAAACAACGCACATCCAGCTCCGACTCGCTGTCACTCACGCAGCTTTTTAATTCATTTCCTGTGAGGCCGACTCAAGTGAAGGACGTGTGTTCTGTAATTGGAAAGTGGTGTTTTGCTTTGTATCCCAGGCTAATCCAAGCTAATGCAAATGAGTGACAGTCAGACGAAGCTACTCGTCTCCCGCCTCTCTCAGCTGTCTGCTGACAGTGAAATGGACACCGGTCACAGCTGGTCACACGCATTTTAATTTCAGAGAAATATAATGCGGTTGCTTCGAGCGCGTTTCTGTTATGCAGCTCCAGTGTATAGAAGTCCTGTAATGTTATGGAATGAGGCCATGGTGGAAGCTATTTAAGTCAGAAATGAGATGCGTTTAACGAATTTGAGACTCACTATCACCCAGCAGGAGTGGTACAATTTGTAGTTTAATTTAAAAATTGATGCTGCTCTTATTAAAAAGAAAGTAGTTACAAATTTACAGTATTAAGATCAAGAGATTGAAGTGGTGGGGGCTCATGAAAAAGCAAAAGAGCAAAGATAAGTAGCAGCTGTATTTTTGAAGAAAAAAGGCAGATTCGGGATAACTCGGTAAGGAGAGACATATATACTCCTAGCTATTGTTGTCTGTAACACTCTTACTGTGTAGGATTTGCTCTTTATTCTCTTCTCTAAATCAAACTTTCTGCAGCAGCTTAAATGTCATTTTTCTAGATGGGGGCGGGGCTCTGGAACATCATTTATTAGCAGTGCTATCCACCTGCCTCTGGGGATGTCAGTATCGGTCAGTTATTCAGTATGTTGATTGGTTGTTCCACTGCTTAGGTCTGAACCAAAACATCTCAGAAACTACAGGATGGATTGCTGTAAACCTTTGCACTGATATTTGTGGTCTTCAGAGAATATATTGTAATTGCTCCACTGATCACCTTGGTTTACCCTCTAGCTCTACCAGCAGGAAGATGTATTTTTGCTTTTAGTGAAATGTCTGGCAGCTGTCAAATTGACTGACATATCATCTGATACAAATTTGTAGAGGCAGCCAAGGTGCCCAGAGGATCAATCCTAAAGATGTTGGTAATCCCCTGGCGTTTCAGCTAGCACAAGACACTGACATTTGTGGTTCTGAAAGAAAACTCTCCACTCACGGATAGATGAAATTGATGAAATTTAAATCATACATTTTCTGTCCTCTCAAGAAGGATTGTGATAGCTTTTATTTATTTATTTTTTTCCTATCAGCTTCAGCTGTAAAATCAGCATGCAAGCATTGTCATTGTGGAAATTCAAGCATGCTAATGTTAGCATTAAAGGAAAAAGTATATGTCCGCTGTAGCTTGAAATTGTGCTTTTTCCCTCTTTTGTGTGTATGCGTCAGGTTCTAGCTGTTTAAAATTCCTTACGTTTAGTTGTGTATAAAACCATCAGGGATAGAAGTCCTCTCCACTGAAAGCAATTGATTCCAGCACAGTTAGAACCCAATATAAGGGTGTCTGTATTCCTCTCCAGGTGATATTCTCATCTTAAACTAGAGATCTGCTATTTCAACATTAGATTTCCTCTTCCCATCTTCCCCTGTGCCTCTCTGGCTCACAGAGACTTTCTTCTGCCGCCTTCCTCTTTCTCTCTCTCTCTTTTCTGTTTTTTTAACAAGTAACTTTCTCTCAGAGTTAGAAGAGTCTAGATCTGAATCTGCTGGGCCCCGCAGTGAGTGATTTATCTCCCCGTTGCATGTTTGTGTGTATATGTCTGACCCTGAACATAATAGGCCAAGTTGCAGTACTTCCAACTTAAAAGTCAATAGTTTCCGTACTATGAGTGCTTTTGTGCCCTGCAGCTCATGTCACTAATCGACAGCAAAACAACTGTGTTCTCGACATTGGATTTGCTGTCTCTCCTCTCCATTTCCCTGTCTGTTTCTTTTTCTTGCGTGTGCTTTTTCCATTTCATTTCCACAAGCTGTGTGAACCCCAGAGTTTCCTATATATTATCTCTACCTATGTGCGGATTAGTTAAAGGCAAATTCTCATGCATTTTCATATTGTACCAAGAAATTTGCTTTAAGTTTTTTTACTCTCTCATCTTTCACTTGCTTTCTTTCATGTGTTTTTCTTTATCACCCTTTTCTTCCACTCATCTTCGCTTTGTTTTGACATCCTGTAGTTGGCTGTTTTCCCTTGGATCTTTCCTCAGTTATAAATCACTGTCACCCCACTTCTAGGAAGGGGAAAGCAGCTGCTCCTTCATCTCTCAATACATCTGCACACTTCCAAGCAGTGAATGCGTGTGTGCGCGTATGTGTATTATATTTATGTGCTTAGGTGCCCTTGACCAGCAACTGAGAGATGAGGCTTGCCGGACTGTATCTGCTATGAAAATTAATGCCAAAGGGTAACACACGGGCTTTGCATTGTACTGCAGTCGCAAAACGTATAGTGCAAAAAAAAAAAAAGAAGAAAAAAATAGAAACGTAATGGGAACATGCATGGAAAAGAACAGGACTCACACAGAAGTGTGTAAATACAAAAACACACACAGGATTACTTTGTTACTCTGTGCTCATGAGGACGTGAAGGAAAGATATATGAGCCCAAAGATTTGTCCCTATGAGTAAAAGCCCAATTAAATGAGACGGCAACTCTCTGGTTACTGACTGTCTTCATGTGAAGACGTGTTTTACAAATAACACACAATAACCATCAGTAGGTTGGTACACAACCCATAAATACACATAGTATACACACCTATAAATATTCCTATACATGCAAATTATTTAGTGGTGCTGCAGTACAGTAACTACATTCCCTTTTCTGCTCTCCAAGCTAATTCCTTACTGGACTGGCCAATGAGTTTAGGTCATTGTTCATACATATTCATATACAGAATATATTTACAGAGATCTGCTAAGACCTATTAGACCACTATCTCTTTTTGGGGCTGTCACATAGAGACTTTGAAAGGCTCTATGTGACGCATCACGTCACATGTTAGATTTTCCGTTCACTCAGAGGCCACATAGTACATAAGATGTGTTGGCTTGAAAAGGTTAAGCAGCAGGTTTTCCCCTGAGAAGGCAGGTTTTGCATCACACATGAAGCCGTTATTAGCTTATTTGTTTGACTGCTGCAGGTTTAAGTGACTCAAGTAGTTTTCATGAACAATCACCCCCAACTGGTAGATGGCTGCCCCTCGCTAAGTCTGGTTGTGCCGGAGTTTTCTTCCTGTTAATATAGAGTTTTTTCTTCCCACTGTTGCCAAGTACTTGCTCATAGGGGTCATCTGATTGTTGGGGTTTCCTTTCTATTATTGTATGGTCTTTACCTTACAATATAAAGCACCTTGCAGGTGACTGACTGGAATGCCTTCTGGACGACTACTAAGAGAGGCAAGACTTCTGTCCTATTCTGAGGCAGATGCAGGATGCTGGAGAGATTATGACTCTCGGCTGGGTTGGGAACCACTCGGGTGAGCTAGAAGATTTGGGATGTGGGAAGTCTGGGCTTCTCTGCTTAGGCTGTTGCCCGTACAACCAGAACCCGGATAAATGGTAGAAAATGTGTGGATGCTACCCAAATGCCAATTTAAAAAGATGAGTCTTCAGCTGCCTTTGAATGCATACACAGATAAGCTCACAGAAAATAAACTGGATGGGAGAGAATTCTAGAGAGTGGGGGCCACTACTGCAATGTCTCCATCACCTTTAGTTTTTAATCTACATTTCAGGATGGACGATTAGCCCTGATCAGCTGCTGGTGGCATTAAAAGTTTGCCAGTATAGGTGGGTACTTTATGCAGAACCCAAAAGGTGAACAGCAGAACTTTGAATTAATTTCTAAATATGATGCAGAGCAATTGCAGTAGGATGAAAATGTATTATATTTCTCCGATTTTGAAAACAAGAACAAACTAGAGCCTTAACATTAAAATCCAACCTTAACATCTGGTTCTCATCAGCAGTCATTCCCAGGTCTCTAAACAAGACATAACAGGAGAGGGAACCCAGATTTCTAAGGACCTGGGGGACTAGGCTGGCAGAGATGCACACAAGGATCTCTGTTTTATTCTCAGTCAGCTGGAGAAAATGACATAACATCCAGGCTTTTATGCAGTTCAAACAATTCTGTGCAATTAAAGCTTTAAAACACATTAAGGCTTAAAAGTGATATAAAGCAGAAAATCATCAGCATACAAATGATAAGAACTGTTTGTGTCTCAAAATCTGATATAAAGGAAGTTGAGACATCCAAACCTTTACTGCCTAATGAGCACCAAAAGCACTGGATACAAATCTATTTCCCAAAACAATGGAATGACTTCATAACACCTTTTGTTAGCAATCACTGGGAGAACTTATGACTGTAGTTTTAGTTTTCTATTCATTCTTCATAGACTGCTAAACCGTGAATATTCCAGTTTTTCTTTTCCTGTTTTTTCTGCCTTTTTCATTTCTCCTCCGATAAAGAGAGTAATGCCCCAAAGAAGCATCAAAAACACATTATAACTTTAAACTTTATGTTTTTAGTTTGTAGCACAAGCCCTTTGTAGTTTAGCTATTTTCTTATTTTTAAAAAATACTTTTGATGCTTGTTCTCAGTGAATTCTCTAAAGTGTGAGAGGCTAGCACTCTCCATGAGCTTTTAGTATAAAACTGGAGAAGTCCCTCTTTAATCATTCTCTGTGTGCAGCTTCACTGTTTGCAGCTCCTGTGAATAGAGGAGTATCTTGGATCTGACCCCTCTGAACTTCTGTGCTCCAGCCAGGTGTTCCCCTATGGCCTGCCAGAGGAGTTCACTCTGGTCTTCACCCTGGCGTTAAAGAAGGCTGCCTTGAGAGACACCATCTACCTCTTTCAGATATCGGATGCGCAGGGATATCCACAGGTGCGGCTCCCTCATCATTTCCTCAGTTTTACACTTTCTCCCCCTCCCCCTCACTACTCTCTTTCCTTCTGTTCTCTCATTACTTGCTTCTCCCTTGATCTTTCACCTTTTTATCCCTCTCACTTTTTTGTCTTTTCATTCTCTCCGCCGCTCATCTCTCTCTTGCATAGTCATCCACTTTCCCTTTCGATTTCTTTTCTCTTGTGACATCTTTTCAATTTTCTCCCCCCTCTTTCATTCCATACGCCTTTTGTCCCCTCGTATTTTTCATCCGATACCCTCTCTTTTGCTCCCTGTCTCTTTGTCAGTCTTCTTTCGATCATCTCCGACTCTCCTCTTTCATTCACCTTCATTGTTATTCACTTGTGTTCCATGATGAAGCACTGGAGTCCCTCGGAGTCCCGATAATCACTAAGAGTTGGAGGCCAGATTTAAATACTTGGCGTGTATGATGGATGGAGGCCAAGTCGCCTCATTAGCAGTGATTGATTGGCTGTACTGCTTGTGTGTGTAATTAATATGTCTTTCCCCTTTGCTAGTCAATTGTACAGGTTTGTTAGGTGGTAATCACGTGTACGTACTGTATTAAAGTTTGTTGAAACCACTGCCAGGCAAACACTTTGAGATATACTACTATTTGTTTTACCTATTTGCATTATTTTGAGTTTAACTGGTACAATGCCACCTCATTTATCCTGTTCTTTGCCTCCAACTAAAACCCAGCTCTCCGTAGACGTCAGCGGCCCAGATCGCACCCTGTCCTTTCGAGCCAAAGGGGCAAACCCTTCAGCGGACCTGGTGGGTTGTGTTTTCACTGGAGAGGGAGTGGAAGCCTTGATGGATCTGCACTGGCACAAGTTGGCCCTCAGTGTCCAACACGGAGCTGCTTCCCTCCATGTGGATTGCAGCTCAATTGAGACCAAACCCCTGGAACCCAGAGGAGCCCTTCCCTCTGATGGACACACTCTGCTGGGTATTCGGGCGTCAGATGCTGGGGCTGTGCAAGTATGAGATTAATAAAAAATATAATAATTTTATTTTTATAGTGTCAACAATAAACAACAGAGTAAACAATAAAGACATTTCAAAAAAATACAGAAAATCATAAACACACAGGATATATAAAACGTACATGTATAGTTAACAGGAAAACCTCAGTAAAGACACTTCCTAGATAGTAGATACAGTTGGACCTAATCTGGCATTAGCAAATGGTGTGTGGGCCAGATGTGTCCCAAATGGTTGAAACATATCTAACATCTGGCCCGTATCAGGCGGACTTTGGCAGAGTTAGACAAACTGAGTCAGCGTTATAAGTAAAGACTAAATGAGACCCATAAAATAGGGCCACATTTGGGCTAAACATTCAGTGCTCTTTTGGTTTTACAGAGGGGAACCCTAAAACCAGCTTTTGATTTACTTGGGCTGCTCAGGCAGAAAGCTCCAATGCTGAGACACGAACAGCAAGGTCTCATTCACCCCAAGTAACAAAGTGAGTGGCTGGAAAAAACCAGGAGACTTCTGCCAGAGGACTCTATAGGGATTAAAATATCAGCAACGTAACCGAGAGCCTGATTGTGGAAAGCCTTAGCCATATTTTAAAATCATTCCTCAAACTCAGTTCATAAATATGCAGAAAATAGAGCGACGTGATCTGTTTTTTTTCTTCTGTGGCGTGACTTAGGTGCTCCCAATTTCAACAGTGAGGCTTCTTTCACAAAGCTGGGTGCAAAACAAATGGAGAGCGGTGCAATCTGCCGCCAGCACATTGATTAAAATAAAGTGGTCGACAGAACTCGAAGCCAGATTAAAACACACCAGTTACCAGAGTTTGCAGTTGTCCTTTTGAGCCTCCTGAGCGTGTTTCAGTGTTGTGAATTAAGCAAGATTGGAACATTTTTTCCCACCCAAAAAATTAAGTCTTGTTGTTTATAGAAGGTATCGATCACAAGTTAAATTTAGTTGTTTTTTTTTTACTCCTCTAAAACATTCAATACAACTGCAAGCAAAGCCCAAGGTTTGCCAAGGGTAGACTTTTTTTTAGCTAGTGCTTGGCCATTCCATGCTTTTAAAAATGGTCTACTGGGAAAATAGAGGGACATTAGGCAAAGAAATATCACACGCTTGACTTCACGGTCTTGACTGTTGAAGAGCTTTTGATTAAGATTAAGGTTTGCAACGTAAATGTCATCTCAAGTTACTATTTGAGCATATGGTGACCTTTAGTCTCTCTCTGTATGAGGAACAAACTGTTTCAGAGGCGTTATGAATGAGCCACGTTGAGGTTAGTGCCACAGATGAGGGCATCCTAGAGCACAGTTGAGTAATATAACACAGTAGACCCCTGACATTTAGAATTTCACCACTTTATCGAAGCATTTATCCAGGAAAAAAGACATTCCCTACCATCCTCCCATAAATGCCTTTCAACTGAAATCATAGATATTTAAGCTTATATTTATGTGTGTATGCGTCTGTTCTACACCCATAAGGTTTTCATTCCTTTAAGACAATCTCAATGAGTCCTGATTTAAAAACATAAGCGAATATATGTAGTGAATTGAGACTATTAATGCTAAATAGATCCAGTAATCCAGACAATTAATTTATTGATCGGTTAACCGGCCTAGCTGGGGAAACAGCTAGGCCACTTGTCAGTTCAGGTAGGAACACACGCACACTCTCACGCAACCGCAGACATTCACAGGAAGCATCTGATGAAGTGATTTTCCATTGCTTGACATTAATGAGAAATTAATTGACTCTCAGCCATGTTTACTGCCTCATTTACACTTGATGTTCTTAATAAAATAAACAAAGCAAAGTACCCTTAGACACCGCCATATCCAGCACTGTATTTACTACCCTCTCTCTGTCTGTCTGTTTTTTGCAGATGGATATTCAGCAGGCAATGCTGTATTGTGACCCCTCACTTGCCATGCACGAGGCCTGCTGTGAAATACCTGGGGCACGGGTGAGAGTGGAAACCCTTACTGTCTTTACCAGCAACTATAACTTTGTCTGGAGCAGAGGCTAATAGCAAAGACTTTAAATGAAAACTTTTTGGGAAAATCTTTGCTTTCTTTCTGCGTCTACGTGCACTTTACAGCATGCCCTACTTTAGCATAAAAAAAAGCTGCTTAGCGCACAAAAGAGCTAGCTTAACGCTGTTGGAACACAAAAGAAATCTACTTACTGACATCTCCAAACACTATCAAATTAGACCAGTGTTGGGGCACAAAAACTTTAAAGCAATCACCACAGAAATGGAGGCTGCAAGCCTGACTGTTCATCACTGCTTTTGTTACCTGTTGAAGATGAGGATCTGGCTGCTGGGCTGGTGTTAGCATACACTCAGCTTCAACAGAATTCTGGCTTCTTGGCTAGCTTTGAGTTGTGTTAGCAGTAGTGCTATTATTTCTGTTTGAAGATCTTTGGCTTGTTTAAACCCGAAGTTCATTAAAAATTCAAATAAAGTAAAATAGTGTTGTTTTGTAAACCCGACTGAATGTAAATTTGGGGCAGACTCTTACTTTTGTTGAACTAAAGCTGAGCTGAACTGAGCCCCAGTGACTGTAACTCAGCACTTGTCGCAGCTCCATGACAGTAAAAGTAATCTGTTGGATGGCTTTTACTGTTAAACAGCTGCAAGAAAAGCTGAGTCTGCATTATCCAAATTAAATACCATAAAAAAAAGTCTCTGCAATTTCTCTTGAGTCTTTATGGGTTTTTTGTTAATCAGCAATGCTTTGTCTTTATAATGCTTTATTCTGTTTTTCCCCCTCCACTTATTTTTGGTGGTCAGAAAGGAAGAAAAAAACTTGGCTGCAGATCATGGTATGCAGGAAGCCCATATTTTTATAGGACTCCATCAGCTGTTTGACTAAGATTATTGTCTTAATTCTGCTCCAGAAACTTCGTTTGAATCTATAATACGTTAATCGACAAGAATTTAATTTGGTTATTTGCACATAAAATGTGATTTGCCAATATTATTAGCTTAAGGCGTGACTGAAAGCCATTTTCGAACATTCACGTTCCTTGTCGCACCTTCCAGAAGCCATTTTCTATTCTGTTTCATTGTTTTTATAGTTCGTTGTCTTTCTCTTGCCTGTCTACCTCTTTTCTTCTGTGTTTTTGAGCGGTTATTGTTTGCAAACGTCAGACAAGCACCTTATCAAATAGAAGACAGATTCATTGGACTGAAAACCCCATAAAAGTGTGTTGAGCAAGCAGTTGTTCATGGGAAGAATTGCAAACAGCCAGTTCAGAGTTTATTTTTAAGCTGAAGGTATTTCATGAATTCATCCAACTTTTTGTAGCAATTCTCCAGGGTTGTCTGTGCTTGCGTGTCGTTTCGTGCATGCATATGTGCCTTTTTCATTACCAGATGAATTTATGGGAGGGATACAAACAGGGTGAGAAGCTCCTTCAGAAGTTTGAAAATGCAGAGGACTCTGGAGGAGGGATTGGATCCTGTAAAATTGATTAGAGGGTTTGAAGACGAAAACCTCTTCTCCTTTGCTCATGGCGTGTGTGCTGCAGGGCCTCCTCCAAGCGGCGTTTAAATTTGAAATTGAGGAGAAAGTGGAGGAGCACATACATATTTGTATATGCACACCCATGAAAGTTGCAGCGTCTTTAATACGCAACTAAATAAGAGCAGATTTTGTTTCTACACACAAAGTCACCCACTATTATGTTATTTGGATGTGAGCTCTTCTAATCAGAAGGGACTTATCCCAAACATCTCTTAAAGTTGGTAAAACATGATTTTAACTAAATTTTACATCCTACCCAAAGCAGAAATTTGACCTTAGTAATCTAGATCTTGTCTTTGCTCTCTTGCAGTGCCCTCCTGATGCTCCCAAGAGCCGCCGTGCTGCTGAAAACGACCTGTTGGACAACACATTTAACCAGGTAAGACTACCGATGCACAAACACAAAACGAGAGATTTCTAGTTGCTAAGAGATAAAAAAAAATAATAATAATAATTACACAATAATCACAGAACAGCAGCACACACTTGGCAATTATAAACCATGTGGACACCACTACTAAAGATCAATAGGACTTCAGTGGTATTTCAACTGATGTAAGCATAGCAAGTTACTGATAATACTTCAAAATGTTGTACTACTTGTACAAATGTATTTAATTTATTAAATCAACATTAGTTTAAAATGGGTTTTAGTGAATTCACTCCTACACTGTCTGTCAAGGAGAATTCTCAGACTGTCACCGCCTCCATTTGTAATCACCACAAAAGACATCACAAAACCATAAAGGGAATAAAACATATGAAAAAAGTATGAAAGGAGCATACTTTGTTCAGATTTTGATTTTTTTTTACTTAATGTATGTTAATGTGAGTCTGTCTTCCTCTTGCTCTCTCTCTTGAGATCTGGTGTACATAATCGTGATATCAAAGTTATATTGACAAGAAAACGTTCACTTTTCACGTTTCACTAAGAGTCTAATAATCACCACTGTCAAACTCACACATCTACAGTATGTGTCACTACGGAGCCCCGCAGGGGACATTGGAGAAAAAAAAAATAAAGCTGAAGTTTTGCAAGATCTCGCAAATGTTTTGGACGCATTCTTTGGAGGCCGCCAGCTCGAAACCGACCGGGACATTGAGGGATGATGTCCCGGGAGTGCGGTGTTCCCTCCGGCTATAGTGGGCCTCGACCTCCCGTTAGCTTTGAGATGGTGGGTAACAGATGTCTCTGAAAACGTCGGAGCACTTTTGCAAATATGTGATGTCATGATAAACCGAGCAGATATTTGACGTTTACACAGCTACGTTCACGCCTCAAAATACCTTAAAAGTTTATTTTGTGACCCAGAAACAGTAATATTAAAACTAAGAAGCTGCCATTGTTGGAAACAAATTGGCTGGGCCGCGCTATGAATTCTGGGATTGGTTGGGTAACGAAGGATACACCGACTCGGCCTTCAAATGCGACCTGCGAAGTATGCAGTCTATTTTGCAAGATCCCGAGTTACTTTTGTGAGATCTCGCAAAAATTTGTCTTCATTTATTCAAGCACAATTCAAGCATTAAAATGTAAGTGAGTCCTTATTTGATGTATTTATAGAGGACATGCAGAAATGTTCTTTCCCATGGTTTTTTAAATACTATTTACCAGTCAACTATAAATCAATGACTTTTCAATAGTGGACAAATGGGATGCACCATTGGGAGAGGGGTGAAATGGAATAGTCCAAACAATAATAGCTTTAATTTTTTTAGATCAACTGTAACTTTATGACTTTTCAACCTTGTTGTTGCCACCTACTCTACACTTACTACTCTATACTATATTTTCTAACATTAATTCAAGATTTATTTAACTTTAACCCAACCATAATGATGATTTAGATGAACAGTCAGCATTGATTTAATATCATCTTACTGTCCAGAAAATATTGTAATCACAGAGTCAGCAAGATGTTCCTGCTGGAAGTCCACTTGAACTTATCACGTGGAAAAGGAATATTCCTCCTCTTATTCTCCTACCTATGTAGGTTATTTGTCGAGCATCAGTTTAAATGACCCACCAAAGAAAACATGTATGCAATTTGGCTACTGAAGAACTATGGCAGAGTAAATGGAGGAAAGCATCTTTTTTTACCCTCCAGGTGGACATTAGGATAATGAATCGATGTCATGTGGAGACTACAAGGAGACACACATGCACCAATTACCGTACACGGCAGATTCGCTTCTTATGCCCAAGTATTTCTAATACCAATGGCAAACACTTTACTCTAGGAACAAAATGAAGGGGGGAAAAACACCCAAACCCTTGTCTCTTGGATCGTGAATTATCCCCCCCCCCGCCTCTCATCAGGCATAGAAAT